CTCTCTCTCTCTCTCTCTCTCTCTCTCTCTCTCTCTCTCTCTCTCTCTCTCAGGGTTGTTGCAATTCCTTGTCCTTCACGTGTCCAATCTCCCCCCAAGCGCCTTATCCCAACCAGAATAAAGACTGCTAACCTTCCAATCATGACTCCATCCGCCCTGACGCCCACAATGTCCTTCCAAACAAACACCATCTTCATACTTCGACGACACCAAATACATGATCATTTTTGGCAGCTTCAAGAAGAGGGGCAAATGTTCATTGTTATGTTTGTCCTTGTGGAAGAATATTGATTCGTGCTCAAAACAGACGGTTCTCTTAAGAGAACTCGTAAACTTTTAAAGCTTTAGTTTTAGTGAAATTTTACGGCTGTTGAAACATCACTAGGTCTTATAAAAAGCCGAAGAATTAGATTTGTTACAAGAGAGTAATACACAAAGTAATAATCAGGAGAGATAAGTACGATGGATGCATGATAAGGGGCAAACCACACCAAATAGGCCTACCTGCTAACCACCCACTACGTATAACCTTCGACGTTCCCCAACCTTTCTTAACATAACGCCCTTTTTCAATTATTAGGTTGTTTCTGACGTTTCAGCCGTTTCAGCCGTTTTGAGTTACTGAGACATTGAGGAGATAATTTTTTTTCCTATCTTTATTTCTTTTTAAAAAAGGTTCTTTTCTCCGTTACCACTCCATTCAAGTCGAGTTCTGCAGTGCAGTGGATTGATCTGCTCTTGCGTATGTTCGAGATTCCTTTGTTTGAATCTATCTCCGATTTGAAAAAAAAAAAAAAAAAGAAGTCGTGCATCATGTGTAATAGGGTGTTGGACTGCAATACTATCATCTTGAGCGTTACGTTGTTCAGTTTTATTTAGTACGCTATGTCCTACTGCTTATCCAACATGCAGCGACGAATACGAAGAACAGGGGGAAAGAGAAAGGGGGGGGGGGGTTCTCTTTGAATAAACACAGAGATTATGCTTGCTTTTGAAAACGTACTTAGACAGCAAACTTAAGTGGGTTGTATAACTACTAATTTCTGAAACGGATTCCGGAAAGTTTCTATTTTCGATTTCTTAAAGATTGCTTCATTTTGAAAAACGAAGCCATTTTCATATCATCCGCCCCCTGTCTCTCCTGCTTTCTCTCTCCCTCTCTCTCTTTCTCTCTCTCTCTCTCTCTCTCTCTCTCTC